ACTCAATGCGTACGTAATGTACAGACACTTCAAGATGGAAGGCATCCATCTCTTAAGGGACCTCCTTCAAGACGGAGACTGGTTCACAAGATTGGACCTAAAGGACGCATACCTGTCAGTACCCGTCCACCTATCCTGCCGCCAGTTCCTCAGATTCCGGTGGCGAGGTCTCCCTTGGCAGTTCACATGCCTCCCTTTCGGCCTCAGCTCAGCCCCGTGGTGCTTCATCAAATTACTGAAGCCAGCGGTTGCGCATCTTCAAGCACGAGGAATTCGATGCATTATCTACCTGGACGACCTCCTGCTATTTTGCTCCGACAGGTCCAGATTGACTCAACACACTCACTATACCATGTATTTCCTGACATCTCTAGGCTTCGTGGTAAACTATAAAGCAGAAGATTCCTGAGGCTACTCTATAGCTACTGAGGAAGCTCATACAAGAGTGAAACGCGTTTAGCCTGATTTTTTTGGACTTTTCTATTTGGACTTTTTTTCTCACTTCTATTTATACAAGTGTAGCATTGCTTTTATTTTATTTTTATTTCAATAAATTATTGTTTCTCGTATTCATATTAGAAGCCTAAAATTCCGTACCATGCTTTTAAAAATTATGTGGAAACCGAGGACATCGATGGCTACTTGCATGACTTCGAGAGGTTATGCCAATTGCATGATATTAACGCTGCTGACCAGGTACCCCTGCTGGTGGGCAAACTAGCGGGCCGGGAAGCGGAAGCCTACCGCACCATGCCAGACGAGGACAGCAGGGACTATCAGAAAGTGAAGCAGGCGATCTTAACGAGGTATGCCATCACCCCAGAGGCATACCGGCAGCGGTTCAGAGAAAGCCGAAAGACAGAGAGAGACTCCCACATGGAGTGGGCACACCGCTTAACTAGGGCTGGCAAGGGATGGGTGCAAGCCGCACAAGCAACAACAGTAGAGGATATGTTACAATTGCTGCTACTAGAACAATTCTTCCAGGGGTTAACCCCAGATCTACAAAACTGGCTGAGGGATCAGGTTGGCGGACGAGTATCAAGATGCCAGAAGGGCACAGCGGGCACAGTCACGGCCCACCCCGGGAGCGACTACCACACCTCCCACTATTACCACCACCCCAACACTGCGTCCCGGTGGTGGGAACTACCAAGCCCCTCCTCGGTACAACAATACCCGATCATTTATCCGGTGTTACACGTGCAACCAGCAGGGCCACATACAGAGAGACTGTATGTGGCTCCACATGGAATAATCCAACTAACCGCTCCACATGGAATAATCCAACTAATTTCCCTGCAAACTGGGCAGCGGTACACTGCTACCAGAGTGAGCCCCGACAACCTCACTTTTGGGCCGGGTCTACTGAAGAACCCTTGGGCACGCTCCACGAAGTCAACCCAATCCAGGCGGCTTTGGACAACCGACAGGGGAATCGCCAAGGGGTATACGTAGAGGGAAAACACCTCCAGGGTCTGCGCGACTCTGGGGCCACCATAACTTTGGTTCGCAATCACCTAGTTCCAAAGAACCAGCTCACTGGAGAATATGTGGCAGTCCGAGTGGCAGGGGGAGCTATTTACAAAATTCCTACTGCCAAGGTACATTTGGATTGGGGAGCGGGGTCAGGGAATGTGGAAGTGGGCCTCATGCAGGATTTACCGGCCGATGTCATCCTGGGTAACGACTTGGGGGAGCTGACCTCCGCTTTTGTCTCTCAGCACGCCGCGCAGGAAGCGCTACCCGTTGTAACCCGGCAGCAGGCTCGCACTACCGCATCCTCCGAACACTCTGAGGCTCAGGTAAGCAACAGCCCTACACCCCCTTTCGTTCCCTGTGCTTCCCCCTTAGAATTTGGTACTGAAGTAGTCACCGACCCGTCCTTACAGGTATACCGGGATAGGGTTGCGCAGAATCAGGCGGGGTTGGAGGGAGAGAGATATGCTTGGGAGAAAGGATTACTGTATATGTATGCCGAGAAGGTGGTAGCAGGATCAGTACCCATGACCATCACACAATTAGTCGTTCCTAAAAAGTACAGGCAAGAGTTATTGCGTATTGCCCACGATATCCCTTTGTCAGGACATCTAGGCATCAGTAGGACGAAGCATCGTTTGACCCAAAACTTATTTTGGCCAGGGGTCTCCAAAGATATCCGGCAGTATTGCCAAACTTGCGATACGTGTCAGAGAGTAGGGAAGAGAGGAGACTGATACAAGGCAAAAATGCACTCCCTTCCCATAATAGATGAGCCCTTTAGTAGGGTGGCAGTTGATATAATTGGACCCCTAGCAAAACCCAGTCCTTCCGGGAAAAAGTATATCTTAACGGTAGTAGACTATGCTACCAGGTATCCCGAGGCAGTGGCCCTAACTAATATCCATGCGGAAACTTGATCCGGATATTCTCCCGAATGGGGTTTCCCAAGGAGATTATCTCGGATCGGGGTACCCAATTCACAGCCGAAGTCACGCACCAGTTGTGGAGAACATGTGGGGTGAAACCTATTGTAAATTCAGCGTACCACCCCCAGTCCAATGGGCTCTGTGAACGCTTTAACGGAACATTAAAGCAAATGCTCCTACGTTCATGTATACTCAGAAAGACTGGGAAAGGTTTCTTCCCCATCTGCTCTTCGCCTACCGAGAGGTACCCAAGGAGTCCACAGGGTTCTCTCCATTCGAATCCTTTGGACCTCATTAGGGAACACTGGGAAGGAACTGTCACCAGTAACGGTACCCTTATCGTCCCATATGTGCTAGAGTTCAGGGAGCGCTTGGAGACCTTAATCCAGACGTTACAGTCCAATCTCCAGGCAGCCCAACAACGACAGCGCAGATGGTACGCTAGGGGAGCCAGGGACCACAGTTTTCAAGTGGGGCAAAAGGTGTTAATATTGAAGCCTGTCCAAAATGATAAACTGCAGGCCTCCTGGCAGGGTCCCTATAAGGTGGTCAAACAGGTATGTGACACCACCTATATAATTGGCCCCTGTACTGGAGTGGGCGGTAAACGCATGCTCCATGTCAATATGCTAAAACCGTATCACGAGCGGGCCGAGGAAGTAAATGCCATATGTGCCTCGGCCGCCAAGGACCCAGACAATTTACCTCTACCGGACCTATTAGAAAAGGGGGGCTAGACACAGAATTAGGGGAAGTACAGCTAGGAGACAGGCTGAGCCCTAGAGAACGGGCTCAGATACTAGAGCTGATTAGAGAAAAAGGGGATACTTTTTCCAATCAGCCAGGATATACCCCGCTGGCCACCCACAGGGTAGAAACCCCAGGGCAACCCCCTCTTCGTCAAACCCCCTACCGCATACCAGAGTCTGTAAAAGATCATATGCGGAAGGAGATTGACGAAATGCTGCAGCTAGGAGTGATAGAACACTCGGATAGCCCATGGGCCTCTCCGGTAGTGCTGGTGCCGAAGCGGGACGGAACCACTACCGGAAGCTTAATGATAAAACTATCTCCGATGTCTACCCTATGCCCCGAATCGACTAGCTCCTAGATAAAATGGCCAGGGGCCAGTACCTCACCACAATCGATTTGTGCAAGGGGTACTGGCAGATACCACTAGCCGAGGATGCCATCCCAAAGTCCGCATTCGTCACCCCGTTTGGGCTATACCAATTTAAGGTAATGCCATTCGGTATAAGGTAATGCCATTCAAGAATGCGCTGGCTACCTTTCAGAGGATGGTAGATCGGTTACTGGACGGGTCCCAGGAGTATGCCTGCGCCTACTTAGATGATATAGCGATATTTAGCAACTCCTGGGACGAGCATTTAACTCATATAGGAGCCATCCTCGATCCCATCAGGGAGGCCGGTCTACCGTTAAAACCCAGCAAATGCCATGTAGGGATGGCTGAAGTGCAATACTTTGGGCCACAGGGTAGGAAGTGGGCAGCAAAAAACAGAACCTGCCAAGATAGAGGCCGTAGCTAAATGGCCGACCCCTGGCACAAAAACCCAGGTCCTAGCCTTTTTAGGGACCGCCGGTTATTACCGTAAATTTGTGCTCAATTATAGTGCCCTAGCTAAGCCCCTTACCGACCTCACCAAGAAGAACCTGCCCAAACTAGTTACCTGGAGCCCAGAGTGTGAGCAGGCATTCCAAGAACTGAAAACTGCCCTAATTTATGCACCTGTACTTGCTGCTCCCGATCCAACTAAACGCTTTCTCGTTCATACAGACGCTTCTATGTTTGGATTGGGAGCAGTGCTGAGCCAGGTTGGGGCCGATGGCGGTGAACACCCAGTCGCTTACTTGAGCCGGAAACTACTACCCAGGGAAGTAAGCTATGCCACCATCGAGAAGGAATGCCTGGCGGTGGTGTGGGCCCTCAAGAAACTGCAGCCCTATTTATATGGACAACAATTTGCCTTGATCACAGATCACAAGCCGTTGGTTTGGCTAAAGCGGGTGTCGGGGGACAACGTTAGACTGTTAAGATGGAGCTTGGCGCTACAACCATTTGATTTCACCATCCAGTATCGCCCGGGGAAGCAAAATGGTAACACCGACGGGTTGTCCCGACAGACAGAACTAGAGAAATGATCTGTTAGCACTCTCCCGGACATCCCCAAGCAGATCCGTTGGGATCAGACTGTGTATGCCGGCTTGGTTCTGGGGGAGCACTGTGGCAAACCCTGCCACTTGGACTAACTATTTTATGCGAATGAACAGTGGAATCATTACATGCGAATGGGTGCTAAAGCAGTGACTAAATGCACGAACAGACTCTAATGCTATTCTTACTGTTCTGTATGCGAATGCCCCGAAGCTACCGAACGGGAGACCACGCCGGGGTGGTCGTGTGTTTCCAATTAACTGAAGGCTACAATGTTGCGAAGGGAATTAAGTACCTGTATGTGTGGCCGCCATTTCGCCTACCGAACATGTGGCGGCGGCCATCTTACGCACGAACAGCGGTCATCAAACGCCTGGAACTCAAACCGGGCATTCGACTAACCAAGTACCGCTAAGACCTCCAGCATGCTCAGAAAGCACGAACCAAACACACGAACGCCCCGGCGTTCGGTAGATGGAATCCCCCAAACGAGGGGATTCATACGAATGGTAACAGTTGCCTGGATGCCTAAGTCATTCGGGACTTTGTGTTCACTAGAAAAGACCGACCGCAGTGCCAGAATTCATGGAACTGTTTTCGGCTACTGAGCCCCTGCGGTCAGTCAAATCTTTCAATGCCTGTAACTCCTAAACCCCTGGTCCGATCTGGGTGAATTTTGAGTATGTTGCTCACCCAGATCAGACCTACCAGGGGACCCCTTATTTAAACATGTACCCCTTGTATTTAGGGGACAACCATAAAGTAGGGAAAACTCTGTCACCATTAATCTGTTTAAGTGTTAATCTAAGGGGAGGAGAGGGATGGGAGGTGACCATGTTATGATTGGCTACTGTACTAATTATGAAAGTTACCTCCCTTGCATGGGAGAAATGCATAAAAGCAGACCTGTGAATAAAGCTGACAGTTGACTCCCAGACTATGTGTCGTCTAGTCCTTGGGGAGGTGGATTATGCTGTGTTCCTGTGATTTTGTATGCTGAATCTTTGTTCCCAGCGGAGAGCTATTGGATTAACCCCTGCTACTCCGCTACACTGAGGAATCAACGTGTGTCTCTACTTCTCATTGTTCCCCCATGGCGGGGCCAACCATGGTTCCTGGATCTCCTAGCATTGTCCTACGCGGACTCCCTACTAATACCGTCCTATCAGATGCTCCTCATCCTCTAATCCTGGACAATCGACTCACCCTGCTGGCTTGGACTCTTTCCGGGGTGCCTGGCAGGTCGGCGAGCTATCGCAGGCTGCTAAGGATCTCCTATGGGATTCCTGGGCACCAAGAACCAGATGACGTAACCTATCAGCTTGGAATTCCTGGTCCACTTTGTGTGTGGAACGGAACCTCGATCCATTTACTACCCCTATACCTTCCATTCTGAACTTTCTTTCCTATCTGTTCTCCATGGGTCGTTCCTACCGGTCACTCAACGTCGTGCTTTCTGCAATTTCGGTGCCACACATGCCTTTTCTAGGGATCCCAGAGGGAAAGGATCCCCTGGTATGTCGACTCCAGAGAGGCATTCGACTGCAGAGGCCTCAGGGACCCAAATACTTACGTTTATGGGACATCGAGGTTGTCCTGCGGTTTTTGAGAGACTGGCCTGCTAACGACAGACTCTCTCTCCGCCAACTCTCGGCTAATCTTACGGTCCTTCTTTGCCTTGTTTCGTTCCGTAGGGTACACTTTTTCTCTCCGGAGGGAGTTACCTTTCAAGTGTTGTGTCGCACAAAATCAGACTCTACGTCGGTTTTCTACCCTTTTTCATTACCAATCCTCAACTCTGCGTTGTTTCTACCCTACAACGGTATGTGGAGGTTACATCCCCGCTACGGGTCTCCACTTCGGGACAGCTTACATTAGACCACATGTTCCCGTCTGGGTCACTACACTTGCCAGATGGATACGATGGATTCTATCTCTGGCGGGAGTAGACGCGGTGTTCGGGGCCCACTCTGTTCACGAGGCGGCGGCTTCTTCAGCTTTCTCACCGGGTGCTTCTCTAGCGGATATCCTCCACTCCGCGGATTGGTTGCGGGAATCCACTTTTCGGACATTCTACTTCCGTTCGAGTTCTGGTGCGGCCATGTCTCTTCTGCATCAGCGTTAAAAAATGCAAAATAGGAAGCCTCCTGTCATGTGGTGAAATTTAAGATTGCTGGCTTTAGTGTACTCATAATCTTAATTTTAGTAATGACAGGAGGCAAGTATTTTCCCACCCTTATTCCCTCCCTCGGGAAGATAGGGTTCATGGGAGATACCATACGTAGAATGTTCTGTCCTCTCTCCTTATCAATCTGTATTCTACTTTGTCACTAACATGGTTTTATCTTCATTATCGTTTTGAGAATGTTTTAGAATACGTTTAGGTTACTAGCTTTTTGTCTGTTATAATGCACACAGCCTTAACAAGACTATAGATAGACATCTATTGCAATAAATTGATGGGTTACTGCCATTGCCTCATACAGTTTAAAGACCGGTACCTAACCTATATCCCACTCTCTTTTCAGTTTAAAGTCGTGAAATTACGATTCGTTTTCAGACTGGATCCGTTTGGATTATCACTCACTCCATGAGGATTTCCGTATAGTTGGATTGTCACCTGTTGGTGCGCGTTTCCGGATGTAATGGTTTTGAACTTTATCTGTCTGTGATGTCGCTTCTGAAAGAGTAGGAGGAGCCTATTTACTGTGGATACTATACTTCATATTGCATTTTGATTGGTTCTTGTTTTCACTTTTCTTTGCTGCTGTGGAGTTAGTAAAGAGAGTTTAATGCAAAATACTTGCCTCCTGTCATTTCTAAAATTAAGATTATAAGTACACTAAAGCTAGCATAATCTTTAATTAGCTGGCATTAGTTCATGCATATTGTGACAAACATTGTGGCATTGTTTGTCACAATATGCATGCACTAATTTGATGCAATTATTATGCAAGGGGCCTAGTCGTATTTAAATCCCTCTGATTTAAGGACAAGTGTCCTTCCTTAGTCTCCTGGCCCTTAAGTGCATTTGTTGGTTCCTATGTTATTTGGTTTCTGATTTGGCATGTGCTTGACCCTGGTTGTTATTCCAGAATTACTCTGTACCAGAATCAGCTTTATCCTTAAAACCCAAGTTTTCCTTGCCCATTCTTGCAAAGTTAAAAAATGTCAGTGTACCAGACCCGGCTTGGTCCTTATACTTGCTTTCCCCATTAATTCTGAGTTCTAATATTCTAGTGTACCAGACCCAGCTTGCATTGACTTAATTTTGTCTAACTTTGGCCTGTTATTTGTTAAGATTAGCACTGATTCTTCCTATTTCTCTCTAGTCTGGTAATGTCTATCTATCCATTACCCTTTTGGTTAGATTGCTGACTTGTATCTTGTAGAGGATACTTCATTATTTTCATATTACAGTGGGGCCAAATGGATCCCTGGGATCCAGATATAAAACAGCAGGTAGTCTTGTTTCAGGTCAGGTTAGAAGACCACAGGATGGATCAGATTGCCCAAGCATTACTGTCATGCCTTTGCTCGGCCCAACACTTGCCTGCACCGCTCCTTGCTGCTAAAAGTCGGACAATGTTGCACCGAAGGAAATTGTTTAGTTTGCATCTGAGAAAGAGAGGCATTCGCAAAAAGCACACCCACTGATCCTGAGGATTCTTAAAAAGGAAGGAGGCATTCCCTAAAGGAGAACTACCAAGGAGGCAGGTAGAAAACCTAAGGGAGTGTGTTCCTTCTTTCCTATTTAAATCTGTTCATACCTGCTCCTTGTGCTTAGTATTATGTGCTCCTTGCTGTGATCAGTTACTCCCTTGCTCCTGTTATGAATATCCGGTACATGACCGTTGGCTTTATTGTGGTTTACAAATCTGTGCTGCCTAACCTGACATATTGCCTGCCTTACCTTGCTTCTGTCTTATCCTTTTCTGCTTTTGACATTCTCAGTTGAATAACTGCATTCTGGACTCTGTCTAATAAACAGTGACAGCTACTGCTTTCTTGCATGTACTGCTCCTTCCTCTAATGAGAATCTTCCTATGATCCCCCAACATGTGGCTCAGGTACCCTCCGCCCTATGTAGGGGATGCTAAAGGGTGTAGTGGTTTCCTAAATCAGGTAGCTATTAGTTTTGAATGCTCTGCTCATTTGTTCAATATGAATAGAGAAAAGGTGGGCTTTGGCATGGGCAAATTGCTTGTGAGAGAATAACAACTATTCTTTCCAACTATAACTATGTTATTGATTGATATCTTCTGCAAGGTTTTTGACCCTCCTAGGCTTGACTGCCAGAGCAGTCATAGCATTCTTTCATGTGAAACAAGGTTCCAGACCAGATAGGGAATATGCTTTAGAATTCAGAATGTACACAGCTGTGGTGGATTTCTACTTAAAATTACCTATCTTAGCAAATAAATATGGTGATTCAGTTACAGCATATCGTCATATTGTGTTAAGCCCAGCACTACATCACAGTACCCCGATATCAGTGGGTCCTACACTAATTTTTTTTTGTTGCAATTTATAAGATACATATACAGATCATGCATTTCTCAACAATTACAATATCACAGCGCCAGTAGGTCCAGTTGCACAAACACAATAAATACAGTCGATATGGTTATAAATTTCGCAATTTAACATTCCACTAGTATCCTGTGTTTTTTATGGCATAGTTGGCTTGTAGCCTGGGCCACTTACTCTGATGTCTGTCTGTACCTGTTTTTAGTTAGAAGAGCAAAAACATGTCAAACTCTTAACTGGGGTAGGAAATAGGGGGAGGAGTAATAGTGGGGGGGGGGGTGAGGAGGAGAGGAAAGTGTAAGTTCTCAGTATTGTGTTGTTTCATTATCTTATGTTGATGCATTCTATTTTAGTTAGTTAGTGAATTTCTGTAGGCCTTAGTTTTTATGGGCTTGTTATCCTGTCACTCTCTTATGGCTCATATCTCTTTTCGCCAGCCCTGTTCTGTTCATCCTGTTTCAGGGTAAGCCTATAGGTTTCCCACATTCTCCACGCCTCCACCCAAAACTTTGGGGTGCTCGGTAGGCTCTGGTTGTACACTCATATAGTTTGATCATGTCAAGCTGTTGGATACATGTTTATATTAGTGGTGGTTTTTTTTTGTAGCCAGGCCTTGGCTATGGCTGTAATTACTGTCAAAGTGCTGTGGGAAATAAGATACTTTTGGGGTTTAAGCAGGTTTATTGGAAAGTGTTGTAAGATAAATATTTCTGGTGTTAGTGGAATATTGATTTTCCCTACTTGCTGTATGAGATTTTCTGCATCTTACCATATTTTAGTGATGGCATAGCATTTCCACCAGATGTGCAAGGTATCACCCATGTCATGCCCACATCTCCAACATGCACCAGGTTGCTTTGGGTCTATGTGTTTTACTTTGGTGGGTACCATGTGCCATCTATAAAGAATTTTTCTAGACAGCTCTATTTGGGAGGTGCACAGTGATAGTTGTTTGTTGGCTACAAAACTTTGACGCAACTCTTCATCTGGTAATTGTCTGCCTGTATCTTTTTCCCACTTTTTTATAAAGTGCATGTGTCGTATTTCTTTAGGGTAGTGGTAGCTATCATATATTTTGGATATGATACCA